CCTCCATAGTGATTGTGTCTCAGATGACCAAACTGTCTGGTATTGATCATACAAGAGGGTGATTCAAGTTTAAAGGGTGGTCTAGTGCATGGGCAATTGTATAATGATTGGGAACTCTATAGTGATTGTGTCTCAGATGACCAAACTAAGGCAAACTGTCTAGTATTGATTATACAAAGGGGTGATTCAAGCTTTAAAGGGTGGTCTAGTTCATAGGCAATTGGTTAATGATAGGGACCTCTATAGTGATTTCATTTCAGATGTCCACATTAAGGCAAACTGTCTAGTATTGATTATACAAAGGTTTAATTCAAGCTTAAAGGGTGGTCTAGTGCATGACAATTGGATAATGATAGAGACTTTCATAGTGATTGTGTCTCAGATGACCAAACTAAGGCAAATTGTCAATTATTGATTATACAAAGGGTTGATACATACTTTAAAGGGTGGTTTAGTGCATGGGCAATTGGATAATGATTTGGACCTCTATAGTAATTACGTCTTAGATGACCACATTAATACATACTGTTTAGTATTGATTATACAAAGGCTTGATACATACTTTAAAGGGTGGTCTAGTGCATGGGCAATTGGATAATTATTGGGAACTCTATAGTGATCGTGTCTCAGATGACCACATTAAGGCAAACTGTCTGGTATTGATCATACAAAAAAGTGATCAAGAGTAAAGGGTGGTCTATTGCATGAAAATTGGATAATGATTGGGACCTCTATAGTGATTGTGTCTTAGATGACCACTTTAAGGCAAACTGTCTAGTATTGATCATACGAAGGGTTGATTCATACTTTAAAGGGTGGTCTAGTACATGGGCAATTTGATAATGATAGAGAATTCCATAGTGAGTGTGTCTCAGATGACCACATTAAGGCAAACTGTCTAGTATTGATTATACAAAGGGGTGATTCATACTTTAAAGGGTGGTCTAGTTCATGGGCAATTGGATAATGATTGGGACCTCTATAGTGATTGTGTCTTAGATGACCACATTAAGGCAAACTGTCTAGTATTGATTATACAAAGGGGTGATTCATACTTTAAAGGGTGGTCTAGTGCAAAAACAATTGGATAATGATTGGGACCTCTATAGTGATTGCATATCAGATGACCAAACTGTCTGGTATTGATCATACAAAAGGGTGATTCAAGTTTAAAGGGTGGTCTATTGCATGGGCAATTGGATAAGGATAGAGACCTCTATAGTGATTGTGTCTCAGATGACCCCATTAAGGCAACCTGTCTAGTATTGATTATCCAAAGGGGTGATTCAAGTTTAAATGGTGGTCTAGTGCATGGGCAATTGAATAATGATTGGGACCTCTATAGTGATTGTGTCTTAGATGACCACATTAAGGCAAACTGTCTAGTATTGATTATACAAAGGGGTGATTCAAGTTTAAATGGTGGTCTAGTGCATGGGCAATTGGATAATGATTAGGACCTCTATAGTGATTGTGTCTCAGATGACCAAACTGTCTGGTATTGATCATACAAGAGGGTAAATTCACGCTAAAGG